GTGAGGTGAGGGACAGGGGGTTATCTATGGAGACAAAGGGTGAGGGAGACTGGTTATCTGCGGAGGAAGGGTGGGGGAGTCTGGTGGTCTGTGGAGAAAGGGTGTGGGAGGCATAGTGCTCAGGATGGTGAGTCCCCCCCGCCCCTGCCAGGACAGAGAGAAAAGGGCAGACTTCTCCTTGTTGACTCCGGCTTCCCTGGGTGGGTGAGACTCTGCTATCTCAGGAGGACTCTCCCCCTGCTGTGTGTCCCACTCTGAAGGGAGCCTGAGTGGGAGCCAGTCTCCCCCACCCTTTGCACCAGGAGACTGCACTGCCCCCAGGTCCACCAAGCCCACTGCTACCCAGTGCTTCCGACTCACAGTGACCCCGACCCTGCATGGTGTCCACATCTCTTCATCTTGATGGGAGCAGACTGCTTCACAGGTCTCCCTGCTGGCTGTGAACTGTCGACCGTGGCCTAGCCGTCCAGTGCCCCAGGCTTGGCTCTGCCCCAGCTGGTTGAATAAAGCACCCCACAGGCAGGAACCAGATCTCCAGGTTCCTGTGTTGGTCCTGGGGAGACTGTGTGGGAAATGGAGATGGAAGGAGCCGGAAGCCTCGCCTCCGTGTAGTTAGCAACACCCCTCCCCCCCCAAGCTGGTCCCTCTAGACGATTCTAGATCGCAGGTCAGGGTATGATGATGGTGTGGGCACAGTTCGCTGTATGGGGGCACTGTGCTTGACCGTGGAGGGGGGTGCTGTCATTATGATGGTTTTGTTTTTTCTGTTCAGGCTCAGAGAGAGAAAGAGGAAGCTCACCTTTGGGGGTGTTTGCAGCTGTGAACTTCCCTGTGCCCCACAGACTCACTCGGAGTCCCTGCCTCTCTGGCCTGCAGGAGCCCCCACCCCGTGGTCCTCCTCGTCTGGGGAGCTGACGTGTTTATCTCGTGGGTAGACTTTGCTAAAGCTGAACAGGCACGGCCCACGATCAGCCAGGGGGAACTGCTGCGCACCCTGGTGCCTGGGCTGGGTTTGGAGAAAGTGCCCGGTTGAGGTTGCGCGCTAGCGATGGGCAGCGCCTGCTTCAGCAGATGTCAGCAACGGGACTCCTCTCCTGACGCAGTGAAAGGAAGGGCGGCTGTGGGTTGGAACAGACTCGGGGCAGTGGTTCAGGTTTGCACCGCCATTTCTGGGGGG